TTTCAACATATATATCAATAATTTTTCATGTTTTGTGACCTAAATAAGTGTGCAAAACACACTTATCAAAAACTTTCGTCAAAAACAAGATTTGCTAAAAATTGAAGACATTTATGGACAATCAAAGACTAGGGAAATTTAGTAGAAGTAAATGATGTAATAAAGAAAAATTGAAATGTCGATATAATCACCTTTTAGCAAATTCAGTTGTATTTTTAAGTCCAAAAGATCCAACCGAACCTACAGTTTAAACCCTATGATTTACAATCTAGTTAATGATAAGAGCCAATAAAAATTGAGAGACGTCCCTTATATTTTGCTTAACTCAGGTAGCAGAATCTAAATAATATTTTATCACCCTCGTGGCATACTCATGTAGAACAACAACTACTATTGTAAAACATCATTATGATTACATATTTAGAGAATCTTCAATGGTGGTGTAAAATATAGATTTAGATCTCAAAAATGATCGGAAACCTCTCCAATGGAGAGATGCAACAAAGATGCAAATTGAATTTTTCAGCAAAAAAATGTAAAATAGAAGTGTTTTTTATATCCAACAAAAGGTGAATTTAAATCTTCCCATCATAGCAAAATTCAGATTTAGATCACCACGATGTAAATGGGGATACAAAAGTGATCTTGAAAATATCAATTTACATTCAATTTTATACCACCATCGGAGATTTCATGAAGCACTACAAAAGTATGACTCAAACGTAGTATTCCTAAACACTACACAGTTCTGTGTTCATATAATATTAAAAGTTACTTTTTTATTCGGTAAAAAATTCACATTAACAACTATAACTATACATTTTCTAGAACTTTATAATATTCATCTTAAAAAGTTACTAAAAATTTTACTCGAATACTCACGTAAACTCCCACTATTCATTCTTAAGGTGCCCTGTTCATATACTTTCAACATCTTCACAGACGCGTTCTCTTTCCTTTTGTGACTTAACATCGAAGAGCAATAAGGCCATCTTTGCAAGTTTTAGAGGGTGTTTGGCACCTATTAATTTTTTAAAAAATTTTCTTTCTTAATTATAACAACATATTTTCCAAATAAAATAATATTACACACAAATCTAAAACTTTTCATTACTTTTTAATCACACATTCTTTCATCAATTACTATTCCAAAATTTATAATTTCCCAATAATGGGTGTCAAACCCATGCTAGTTTTTCTTCTTCTGAACTCCCACTTTCATTATCTATTTTGCATGTACGCTCACATAAGGTATTAACATCAAACTCCACACAAAATGATAAAGAAAACTGCAAGTGCAAACCACAATAGAGTGTGTTTGAGCCCCATTTTTTAAAAAAATAAGTTTTGTAATAATAATTTTTTTAAGACTGTATGGCTAAAAAGTAGCGAAAAGTTTTAAATTTAGGTGCAAAATTATTTTATTGAAAGAATGTCCGTTAAAAAATGAGCTTTTAGAAAATGAGAGTCAAACAGTGGCTAAATATTGGGGAGTGAAGAGTGCAATTTTAAAGGTTGGGGACCAAATGCATAGGAGGTCGCTAAAGGTTGAGGACGGAAGTATAATTTGACCCTTTGCATGAAAGGACAAAAATGTCATTTCAATATTATCTCTCAACATGGACCAAAGCCCTCCTGTTTTTAAGATTATCCCTTCAGTTGCCACGTTCTTCTCTCAACCCACCGCCAATGGCCTCCTCTTTACACTCGAATCTTAATTTCGTACCCACAACCCAGTCCACGGTGGCGGTCGGAGGCGGCGCCAGACCTCACCGCTTCTCCATCATACTGTGTGGCCCACGAGACAACCGTGGGCCACTCCTCAAAGGTCGGATCCTAAGCACCGAAGCAATCCAAGCCATCCAGGCCCTCAAACGTGCCCACAGAACCGATCCGACAAATCTCCCCACCCACATGCTCTCTCGCCTCATTAAATCCGACCTCATCGCCGCCTTCAAGGAGCTCCTGCGCCAAGACCACTGCATTCTCGCCCTCAAAGTGTTCTCAACCATCCGATCAGAATACGTCGTCGATTGGAGCAATTACGCCGACCTGGTTCTCGCATTAACCAGGAAAGGATTCAGAGATGAAATTGAAGCCCTAATTCTTGATATGGAAAAGGAGGGAGGGATTCAGTGTGATGATAGTAAGGGATTATCGAGGCTGATTAAGGCTTTGATTGATACCGAGAGGAAAGAATCGACGGTCAGGATTTATGAGATGATGAGGAGGAGTGGGTGGGGTTCCAACGTTACAGTGGATGAGTATTTGGGCAAAGTGCTGAGCAGAGGGTTGAGGAGATTTGGAGAGGAAAAAATGGCCGATGAGATTGATGAGGACTTGAGGAGGTTTTGTAGGGGTATTTCGGAGAAACCAAGGGTTTAGAGGTTTTTTTTTATTTTTTATTTTTTATTTTTAATACTGTGATGCTTAATGGTTTATTATGACTAGTGGTGTATCAAGCGTTGCACGATGATTGTTATATTTTTGCAATTTAATTCGTGGGAACGATAATATGTTTTAGAAAATTTAAACATATGATGATGTAGACTTAGCATGAACGATTGTAAATATACACTAAGTGATAAATGATAAAGAGGGTTTATGGTCATAATGGATATAATATTCATGATTTAATTAAGCTCAAGAGAACGATAACATAATTAAAAAAAAAAGTACATAAAGGAAAAACACAAGAAAGTCAATTTGAAGGAAAGACTATAAAATTCACATTCACCGAAAAGAAGAAAAAAATTACAATTATTCAAATAATCTAGCATCCAATTTCTATTTTTAAAAAAATGGTAATAAGTCACATATCCAGATGCCATCAAAACTCCAGGAAATTATTCCAGTGCGGGCGGTATTAAAAAAAAAAATCTTCCTTCCGTATTTTTATCATAACTTTGTATTCCGTTATCCGATTGAGGCGGTTTAAAATGCGTTGGAAAGATAACTTATCTGGCTACAATTTTGATTCAGACATCATTCTCCAATTCGATCACTTTCTATGCCAAAAATAGGTCTCAATATGAGATTAAAATATCGGATCATAACTTTTCGGTTGGAACTTGATTTGTGATCATCTTTTGACTAAATTTGATCCCCTTGACATCTTCCTTTATCCAATTGACTTCGAGCACTCTCAAATCTTCATCGTGAGATTCGACACAACTTTTAAGTATTTACATTTTAGTCCCCAAACTTTGGATCCCTTACAATTTAGCCATTTCTCCAAATTTGTCTACTTTTGCTTATTTTCTTCGATCTCACTAACTTATATCACAATATCAAAGTCACACATCTAATTATTTATCAATTACATAAACATTACATAATTAATTATTTAATTAACCAAAAAAATTACATTTTTATTAATAACAAATTAATTCTT